TTTTGGTGCACCATTTTGTTTTTGTTTTAATCTTTGAGATGGAATTTAAAATTCTTCGCAGATAAAGTTATCTAATTAATTTTGTCATTCAAAAAACTAAACAAGACATATTTAGAGCCAAAAATAGCAAAAAGTGCAGAGGATATAAAAATAACAACATTTTTACGACTATCTCGTAAATTAACTAGATTCTTACTCTCTTTTTCAACGAACTCTGTAAATGTTGCTTCGCGGCAGAGTGACGTATGACGCAGAAAAACCTGTTCGTCGCGCATTTTGGGTTAGAGTGGGAATAATAACTTATTTTATTTTGAAATCATTCTTAATTTATTTTTAAAAAAAATAAAGAATTTTCTAGAATTCTTCTTCTTTAATTATAAAAACCCATTAAGTATTTCTAAGCCATTTTCCTACATTTTTATTTTTAATTTTTTTTTTTTTGAAAAATAGCAGAAAAATTAATAAACGAAATATAATCTAACTTTTATTTTATTTGTCCTCATTTAAAAGCTTTTTTCAATGTTTAAATAGATTTTTAAGCTGTTTTTATGAACGTATTTGAAACCAATCAAGCTTTAAACAGACATGAGAAGAAATTTAAAAACAAATTAAAGTTTCTTTAAAATATTTTTTTTTTTCGAAAAAGGTGCATACTCTACATATTGTTTCATTTTTTTTTCCTTAACTATTTCTACTCCTTTTAATTCTTCTAAAGTGGTTTAGGTAACCTACCCCCCCCCCCCCCCCCCCCCCNCCCCCCCCCCCCCGTCCCTACCTTCCTTCATTTATCAAATTCTGCAGTTCATCCACTCACTGTCTAGACTACGTCTCAAAAAAAATCGGGAATTCACAGTTGTCTTCTTAAATGAAGGATATCGCTCCCAGGTGTGGTCATCGTAACTTATTAATCCCTTTATGCAAACCATCAAAAAATGTAGGTCGAAGCATTGATTGGCTGTTTGATCAAGGAAAAAAGCAGTAATTGGTTGTAAGTCATTTAGAAATTGTTTGTTTACATCTTTTTGGATTGGTTTACAAATTTGTTTATCGCTGTCTTTTAACTTCCTTTTTTTTTGGTAATTAAACTTTTACCTTCGCTGGTATCATTTAAAACACCTTTGGCCTTAAGAAAAGGTTAGGTTTTTGGGTCGATTTGATCCTAGCATATTTTTTTGAAACCAGAGTTTTAAATAATAGTAAAAATTGCGATTTTTACTAAAAAAATATGTAGTGTTGATGAAAGAGAACTTTGATTTGCGATAAAAATTGATTTTTCGAGTTCAATCACATCATCAATCGAAAATCCAAGATGCTATTTTTACTTCGAAATATGAAGCTTAGAAGAAAGTAAACATAAATGCGATAAAACTCGATTTTTCGAGAACTTAGTATAAATACTTTATCCACTTATATATACTTATACTTATGTACTTTTACTTATTTATACTTTTATATACTTAGAAACATATCGAGAACTAGACTTATGTACTTAGAAATATGTAGTGTTGAAGAAAGAAAACTTTGATATGCCATAAAAATTGATTTTTCGAGTTCAATTGAGAAGAAGCAATTTTTACTTCGAAATATGAAGCATAGAAGAAAGTAAACATAAATGCGATAAAACCCGATTTTTCGAGTTCAATCGAGAAGATGCAATTTTTACTTCGAAATATAAAGCTTAGAAGAAAATAAACTTATAAATACAAGAAAAATCGATTTTTTTTTTTAGCTCAATCGTTGAAATGCGACTTTTACTTCGAAATATCTATTGTAGAAGAAAATAAACTTATAAATACGATAAAAATCGATTTTTCGAGTTTAATCAAAAGTATGCAAATTTTATTTAGAAATAAGCAGAAGAAAGTAAACTTTTAAATGCAATGAAAATTTGATTTTTTTTTTTTTTTTAAATCAAGAAGATGCGATTTTTACATAGAAAGATAAATATTAGAAAAAAATAAACTCTTAAACGCGATAAAATATTTTTTTTAAAATTCAATTAATAAAATTTTATTTTATTTAGTTATTTTAATTATTATATGGAAATAGAAATTTTAGTTTTTAGCACTTTTTACATATTTCATGTATTTTTTCACAATGTGTATTTCTTCACATTTTGGTCATGGAACAAAATTTGCATGATTCAAATAATAATAAGATATTTTTTCTGTCATAAGACTGTCCAAAAGATTTAAAAGATTTCTTGAATCTAATTTCTTACCATTCTTATAATTTTTTGTTATAATTAAAATTCTGACAAAAGATGACACATCTATATTATATTTTTGCATAGACAATCGTTTTTCAAACGCATACAGACTAAAAAAGAATCATAAAATGTTATTTAAGTGATAAAATTGTACAAAATTTTGTTCAACATATTAGACGCTGGATTTCAGGAAGAGATACTAAAGAATTTGGTTTTCGGAATGAAATGAAATACAAAGTACTTTCAGGAAGTACTTTTACTTTTACAAAGTACTTTTTTTTTGTTAAGTGATAAAATTGTACCAAATGTTGTTTAATATATTAGACGCTGAAGCAAAGTAAGATATACTAGGGAATATGGTTTTCGGAATATAATGTAATAAAGTACTTTTGCTTTTACAAAGTACTTTTTATTTGCTTTAGTGATAAAATTGTTCCAAATGTTGTTCAATATATTAGACGCTGAATCTCAGGATGATATATTAGAGAAAATGGTTTTCGGTATGTGGTTTTCGGAATTCGGAAAAATATGGTTTTTGAAATTTCAGTATTAGTTAATTTCATTATTCGTAGTACTTCTCCACAATGATTTTTTGGCCACGTTATTTTACTAATTACGCTTAATTTATTTTTACTTACTTCGGAACGAACTCAATCATTTGCAATCACCTATTTTGTTGGGAGTTTTGAGTCCCCCATTGAGCCATATTATGGTTCAATTTAATTGGAACTTTAATACGGTGTGAAATTGAACCATATTTTGCTTCAAATCAATCCTTCTCGAATTTTGCAATTTTGAAAATAGTTAATCTGAACCAAAACATGGTTCATTTTACAAACCTTTTAAAGATGACGGCGAATTTGCATGATATTAGAAAGATTAAGAAAGACAGCGAAATTGCATGATGTTATGGTTCAGTAAACCGATATTTTGGTTCAAATTTCAACCAATTTTTCTGAGAGCAATATTTAACCATTGGTTTATAAACTTTCTTTTTCTAAATTCAAAAGCACAAGCTTTGGTAAAGTGCAAAACATAAAAATGTATATTTTAAAAGAAAATAGGACCTTGTTTAGGAGCAATTACATATTTCCCCCATTTAAATATATAAATAATGCAATTTCTCTGCGTACCTATTTTTCATATAAAATTGATGTTAATAATAATAGTCATATAAATACGTTAAAAAGATATAATCCTTTACTTTCTCTTCTTTCTAGTTCACGGTGACTACATCAGAAAGTCAAATTAAGATAATATGTAAAAAAATAACCTTGTAAAAATAACCGCTAGCAATATTGTTTCTGGAAATTGTACATAAATAGTATTCGAAAGTGCGACGGTTGAAATCTAACTTAACGTGTATCTAGTTTAAGGAACTTCATGAATTCTTTTTCTTTAACCAAGTCACGTTTCAGATGTGAGATTAGGTGTCTGTCTCAGTTCATCGCCATCGCCAAATAGAAGCATCTCTCAGCTCATTTTTCTATCGTCTAGAAGTAGTCAAATTCTAGACAAAAGGCCAGGATCTTCCCTGGTGTCGAGATTTTGTGAATAATAAATAAATAAAGCGATATCTGGTGTCCAGATTATGATTAAAAAAAAGTAGCAGACGATACATTCTGCTCAAAATTTGAAACTCTGAAAAAAATCAGACGATAAATTCAGTTCGAGATTTTGACTGACCTGAAAAATTCAGATTGGTATTCAGATCAAAATTTCGTGCCCTTAGTTTAATGAATAAATTTTAAAGTACATTTATAACTTTGGCTTTAATATTATGTAAATTTGGGTCCGGCTTTTTGACGTATGATAAATTTATAAGCATTTTTGAAATGCCTGCATTACACTCTTTTGTGTTATAAAATTTATTAAATAGATTTATTTTATATGAATAATATATATGATAAAATATATGTGTCTTATTTTCATTCTAGAACAAGAATTATTTTCCTATCCTTTTTATACTCTAAAATTTTATTTTATAACAAAACATTAAAAGATAGTTTGTGTAAAAGCTTAAATAACTTGAGTAATTTGTAATTTCCTTAAAAAGTAACTAAATTGTTTATGTAATTCTATTATACGATTCAATGATAAATTTCTGATTCATTTCCAAATTATTGATTAAAACTATTTTTTTATGTAATTCTTTTAAACAATTCATCAAGAAATTTATAATTTTTCATTGAATTGCTGACTGACTTGTTGTGTAGAAATATTTTTTTAATTTTTACTGAACTGTTGCTTTAAAAAATTCATGATGTAATTCCATTAAACAATCCTATAATAAATTCGGATTTATTATTGGGTTTTTACGTAAAGATAATTTTTTAATGTAATTCGTTTTAACAATTCAATAATGAATTCAGATTTTATATCAAATTGTTGCGCAAAACAATTATTTAATGTTATTTTAAACAATTGAATAGTAGAGACAAATGTATTATTGTTGAATGAATATGTTTGTGTAATTCTATAAAATTATTCATAAATAAATTCAGCTTGATTATTGAACTGTTGCAACAAAAAAATTTTTTAATGTATTTCTATTACACAATTTAATTATAAATTCATGTTTATTACTAAATTATTTCATGTATATATATGTATGTATGTTTGATGTGATATGTTTATTTCTCAAGATATTTTGCCGCTTTTCATACACACTTTTCGGACACTTAGTGTAAAATATTATTATCAAACCATTTAAATTTGATATATTGGTTAAATATTCCATGCTCAATTCATAATCCTTTTCCATTGTTTGATCCAAGTGTTTTTGTTGCAGCAGCACGTGGCCCTAATCTCAAACCCATTCGCTCAAGTGTGTCCTATGTGCCATAAGAGCTTCGTCAATTCAGACCTATTGATGGAACACATGCAGATTATGCACAAGAGCGGCAACAACCTAGGAATGTCCACCACCAGTAAGTTTTCTGTGCCATCTTGAAATTCTGACCTCAATAGGTTCATTTTGTTTTTATTTTATAACTGGTGTTGCTTTCAACCCCGGTTCCAGTTCTGAGTTGACAACTATGAATATCCAACTCAGTAGCCTAGTAATTTTGAACCAAACACAGAAGACAGGAGAATACCTGCATCAAGCAATGGGACAAACTAGCTTTCGAGGAGGACTTTTTGATGGAAATAACATGTATTTGCGTTACATGGAACGAAAAACTTTTCACGGTTAGCCTGGCACCAAGGGGACCCCAAACCTTGATTCGTCTACCACTGAGGATATTTTACATCAGCATTGTGTTCGATGCGAACCGGGAACAAAATTCGTACCGACCAGTCAACGCTGTGATTTGAACCTAGCAACCTCATTGGAAGGCGTAAGCTTTATCCCCTGAGCCATCGTGGCTCTCAATGTCGTTTTATTTTATTTTACAACAGTCGTAGAACAGCCGTCTTAATTCTAAGTTTACTACTATCAATGTTCATTTCCTTGTAAGTTTGAACCCGACCCAGAAGTCAAAGGAACTCCTTAATCAAGCATTGGGACAAAGTAGCCTTTATGGAGGTCTTTTTGATCTAACTAACCCGCATTTGCTTTGCAGAGAGAAGAAAACCTCCCACTGTTAGCCTGATGGCAAAGGAATTCTAACCCATGATCTGTTTGCCACTGAAGATATTTTAGTTCAGTACTGTGGTCAGTGCGAGCAGCCGGGAGTTGAACTCGTATCGACCAGTATCAACACTGGGATTTTAACCTGAGCATCTGATTGAAAGGCAAACTCCCTGTCTCTTGAGAAACCGCGAATAGTCAACCTATACTCAATTTAGATACTCAATCAATAGGGTCATTGTAAATAGCACGTATCTCGTTTAATTTAATACCGTACACGCAAAGTTTCTCCCGATATAACGCGGGAGAAACTTTCCATGACAAATTTTGTCTTACCTCCATTAGCTTAGAGAAAAGTAAGTTGAGGTAATCTTGCAGTAAACCATGACATCTCAAATCCTAAAGAAATACAAACATGTTATTGCAGGATTGCTTCCCTACTTCGTAATCCTGAAACTTACAAAAATAAGTTTTTGACGTCGAGAGCTGAAACAAAATGCATCTGGAATGGAAAATTAGGTTATGGTTTGCACCCTTTTATATAAAACTTAATTTAAACCTCATTTACGCCTCATAAAATAAACCTAATACTATTGCTGAACATCATTTGTGCATGAAATCGGGGGAAATTGTTCACACCACAACTATGCTTATTTGCTTGAAGAGTAGAAAAATTAATCTGTACGCCTCAAAACAACCTCTCTAAGCTGGTTGCTCTAAGGTAGATTTATCTCAACCTCAAAACAACCTCTCTAAGCTGGTTGCTCTAAGATAGATTTATCTCAACCTCAAAACAACCTCTCTAAGGTAGATTTCTATCAACCTCAAAACACCCTCAACTGCGAATTAAGCAAATCCATGCACCTTGATTATGAACCTTGGGATTTTGATTTTCATGAAACATGTTAACTCGATTTTATCTAGGAGTACCTTTTGGTAGATGAAAGTAGACATCGTTGGCATCCTAGCTCTCACTAGATAATGGTTATATTCCCGTTGAATGTTATAGCTTTTTTTTTATAAAACTGATTTTAACTATTTTATTACATGATTTTAATTATATTTCCGTTTTTTACACTCATGTTTTTCACCTAACTTTTTTCCTAAAATTTCACATCACTTTCTTTTGTTTTTATTTCTTCTCTTTCAATATCGAAGTTTTTCCGGAAAGGGAATTTACAAATCCATCTTCTTTAAGTCGAAACCTTATCATCAGTAAGTAAAAATCTTACAAAATCGTTACTATGCAAAAAGTAAAAATATTAACAAGCTTGAATGGTTCCCTTTCAAATACAATGGTTCTTAAAGGGGAGTTGCTGTTGACGTAGGCCATTAAAGCAGCAAGGTGTGCGATTGCTCTTGTTTTCCTGTGGCGCCATCTATGACCAAGAATTCGACTTCTGCCACACCCATACGTCACACCCGTTTATAGGGTGGGCCCATTCATTCATTCATCCACACATCGTAATTTTGACCTGAACCAGAGAACGATCAATCTCCAATTCAGTACTCCCAGGGGTATAATTTGTTATGAGAACATGGAGGACTTTGTGACCCAACAGATTTAACGTGCATCAGTGCCTATTTGCTACACTTCGGCCGGCTGGATTTGAACTCCCGTTCTCATGAACGCGAGTTCAGTACGCTACCAACCAGGCTAACTCGGTCCTTAAAAGGGTGTTAAACGATCTAAACTCGTCATCTCCGATATTTTTTTCTCTTCTGAAAACTTATAGTTTGTGAACATTGTTTAAACTTCATTAGTATACAAAAGAGAGTTTGTGTATTGAAGATTGCATAAATCTGTTGACGCAGGTAAAAGAAGAACCAGCAGCCACCAGTGTCCGCTGTGCGGTAAAACGTATGTGAACGAAGGATCTTTGAGGAAGCATATTGCATCCCACCAGGATCCGGCCGCTACCATGGCAGCAGGCTTGCAAGGCCCTCCCCTCAGAATGTGGCCTTGCACCGTCTGCAACACCGTCTTCACACAAGAGGCTGGTAAGTACCATGCACTCCTTGTGATATAGTTTCTTCTATATGATCCTTACATCATCTTTTTTATCAATGCATCCCATTACATGATCCTTTTATCCTTGCATCCCATTACATGATCCTTACATAACGCTTTTATACTTGCATCCCATTACATGAACCTTACATAACGCTTTTTTCCTTCCATCCCATTACATGATCCTTGAAAATACATTATTCTTTTATCTGAGCGTCCCTTTGCATGATTCTTGGAATCGCGTTATCTTTTATCCATTCATCCCATTACATGATCCTTGGAAGTACTCTTATCCTCTTATCTATGCATCTCATTATATGATTCTTAAAAATGCATTATCACCTTTGCATGATCCTTTTTTTCATGCATACCATTACATAATCATTGGAAATATATTATCCTTTTTACCATAAATCCCATTGCATAATCCTTGGAAATATATTATCTTTTTGTTCCATACATCCCATTACATGATCCTTGAAAATACATAATTCTTTTATCTGAGCGTCCCTTTGCATGATTATTGGAATCGGGTTATCTTTTATCCATTCATCCCATTGCATGATCCTTGGAAGTACATTATCCTCTGATCTATGCATCTCATTATATGATTCTTAAAAATACATTATCATCTTTACATGATCCTTTTTTTATGCATCCCATTACATAATCATTGGAAATATATTATCCTTTTTACCATACATCCCATTGCACAATCCTTGGAAATATATTATCTTTTTTTTCCATACATCCCATTACATGATCCTTGAAAATACATTATTCTTTTATCTGAACTTCCCTTTGCATGATTCTTCGAATCACGTTATATTTTATCCATTCATCCCATTACATGATCCTTGGAAGTACTCTTATCCATGCATCTCATTATATGATTCTTAAAAATGCATTATCATCTTTACATGATCCTTTTTTTCATGCATCCCATTACATAATCCTTGGAAATATATTATCCTTTTTACCATACATCCGCCATTGCATAATCCATGGAAATACATTATCCTTACATGATTCTTTTATGTATGCATGCCATTATATATTCCTTAGAATTACGTGATCCTTTTTTCCATGCACCCTTTATATGAGCCTTGAAAATTCATGATACTTATATAAATCTTTTTTCCGTGAATCCCATACATGAGCCTTGAAAATACATAATCATTTTATCCATGCATTCCATTGCGTGATCCTCAGAAATACATGATCTTTTTATCCTTGAATCCCGCTCTATTATTCTTGCAATTACATTACCTTGTAAGTAGAATCTGAAATTAAACACATTCACTTTGAGCCCGGCATGTTCGTGAATATGCTAAATGATACGTGAATGTGCTAAATCTCACATTTTTGCTTGTTTATATTCCACCAAAATACATCAATTTGTTACCATGAATACTCTTTTTCTTGATGAGTAATGAAAACGTGGTGTCTAACGAAATTGCTATTCACAAGAATTATAATTTAAAATTATTATTATCAGCTTATGGCAGAGAATTGCAACTCACTGATATTTTTTTTCTTGCTCTTTGAATACTCAAAATGTGAAATTAATGTTAGGGGTCCAAATTTTCTATCGCTCTCTGTTGGGGTTCTATTTGTCTGATTGCAGTTACCCTCAATATTCTGATGGTTAAAAATCGAAATTGTCAGAAAAAGTAAGATTACCTAACTTAATTAATAGTTAACACTAAAACTGATTAGCATATTTAAGCTCAACCTTTATGAACCATTTCGAGTGACACTAGCACGTGAAAATCCGATATTTAGAACAATAGTTATTCAGGATGACTTTTATTGGCTCAAGCAAACGTCTTATACGGTGCGCCAGAAAACACACCACTCTGAATAACTTTTGATGTAATGATCGGATCTTCACGTTCTAGGACTCAATCTTAATGGTTCGAGGAGGTGATGACAAATGTGATAATTATTTAGAACAGAAGATGTTTTAAGTTACGAAATCAGACACAAAAACATACTTTTGAAGGAACAAACCGAATAAAGAAACCTTTTTTTTTACGCATTCAGATTACCCCTGAAACATAGGGGGTAGCCGCAAGCTGAGAAATATTGTCCCAATAGTTTGGTCAGGAGAGCGATCAAAAATTTGGACCCCTTAATGTTAATTTTACTTTTTGCTTATTTTGCCATATCTATAGGACTTTTTAAGCAAAGTGAAAAAAATGTACACACAATTATAAAACTCATTTATCCAAAGATAATTAGATGGTCACAGTAAACTTATAGTAAGTATTTATTTTATTTAATAAAAGTCGAAAACATTTTGAATTGTAAGGTATACAATTTTTTATATAATTTTAAATTATGTAATTTCGCATGGCAAAAAACAAAATTTGTGCGAAATCGGTGCAATAGTTATTGAGAAATCGAATTTTAAATATGCTACTTTTTTAAAAAATTCTATTTCTCAATAACTATTCAATGAATTTCGCTCAAAGTTTGTATTTTGCCATGCACTTTAAAATGTAAAAAAATGTTTACCTTGCAATTCAAAAAATTTTCTATAATTATTTAATAAATTAGTAAGAAATAATAAATATTGATTAACATTTACGATTGACTAACATTTGCATGGAAGTATCTTTAGATAAATGAATTTCATAATTTTTAGAAATATTTTTTAAATTCGCTTATAAAATTCTCGAGATATGGCGAAATACGCCGAAAGTAAAATTAATATTAAGGGGTTCAAACTTTGGACCGCTTTCCTGACAAAACTATTGAGACCATATTTGCCAAATTGCGGCTACCCCCTGTATTTTTGGGGTCAGAAGTCCGAATCCCTTGGAGAAAAAATAAGGTAAATTCGGAGATCTAGTTTAGATTAAGTAGAAAGATGTTTTATTCACAGAAAGTACGTTTTTGTGTCTGATTTCGTGGCTTAAAATATTGTCTGCGCTAATTAATTTGCATATTTGAGGTCATCCCTTCAAACCATTAAGAACGAGTCCTAGAACGTGAAGATCCGAGGTCAAAAGTTATTCAGGGTGGTCCGTTTTTTTAGCGCACTGTACGATATCGATCGATATCGTATACGATACATATCGATATCGATAATTAGTATATTTTTCAATTTATTAACGCCAGTTGATTAACTAAATGTAATAGTTTTTATTTACATTATAATAACAAAACAAATTGCTTGTTGTAATCTGATTTACATAAATAAAGTAATTATATCATTAATTGTAACAAAAAATAACTGTTTTACCCCAAAACAGATAAAAGCAGGAAAGTCTGTTTAATGAGATTTATGAGGATTGGACAAATTGTGCGATATTTTTTTTCAGATTAATATCGATTTATTATCCTACGAGAATTCTTTTTACTATAGTAAGCTCATAACCAGGTTTAAGGTGACGTGAAACTTTGTCTTGCATATGTAACTATGATGAATTAACTGACATTATTAGTCAAGTGACGTGTAATCTTCTGGGGATCTGGTTAACAAATAGTTGTCCGCAGAAATATTTGAGATTGATAACGTTAACCATTTCAAATCTTACTTTTTTTCATTTAGAAGATATAAATAATAAATATGATTATGTATAGAGTCAAGATCATATATCTAAGCTAAATATTATAAACATGTGAAAATTAGGACATAAATATAACTGAAATAAATTATAATATATTAATTATAGCGGAATTATATAATATAAGGTGCGCCGTAAAAAAATTGAGCAAAAATGTGTCAAAATGACTTCAAAACAAATAATAGTCGAATTTAAAAACCCTGTGTATTCAAAATTCAAACAGCATATACTAGAGCTGTGATGGCTCAGGGGATAGAGCGTTCGCTTTCCAATAAAGTGAACCGGGTTTAAATCCCGACGATGGTTGGTCGATATGAATCCGCATCCGGCGTGCACCGATCACAGTACTGACGTGAAATATCCTCAGTGGTAGACAGATCGTGGGTAGAGTCTCCTTGTCGTCAGGCTAATCGTGGGAGGTTCTCGTGGTCTTTCTGTCCGTGTAACGCAAATGCGGGTTAGTTCCATCAAAAGTTCTCCACGAAGGCAAATTTCTCCCTATACTTGATCCAGGAGTTCCCTTGTCTTCTGGATTGGATTCAATATTTGAGCAAATCGCATAGAGTGTAAGAAAGATCCTCGTTTCTTGCCGACAGGATTCGAACCAATGACCACCCGGTTCGCAGTAGGATGCTTTACCCGCCTTAGTCTTACTCCCGAACCCAAGTTAGGAAGCTTTATATAATATCCTCCGCAATGACACATCATGACATATTAATTTCCAATTTCAATGGTACAAAGAGTTGCAATTTTCTAAAATATATTCGTTATAGCTTCGTAGCACAGAAGATTAATAATTTTAATTTCACTTTTTGCTTATTTTGCTTTTTCTTAAAAACTTATAATAAATGGAATGTATGTCATGATGCGTGTGACGGCCACTACCAATAAATATTTGGACACGTGTGATTGAAAAGAAAAACAAACTTTATTCGTAATCAATAGTTGGTAGAACCTCTACGACAGGCAATTAAAGCATGAACCTTCCGGGGCATACTTCCCACAAGTCCATGTGTGACGGCTAGTGGTATTTTCTTCCACTCGTCTCCTTCACCGATTTTGGACGGGTAGTACACCCCTTAATTCGGCTATCCAACTCGTCCCAGAGGTTCTTGATAGGGTTCAGGTCTGGGCTCTGGGCAGGCCAGTCCATTCGATTAACCTCATTGGCACCATACCAAGCCTTGGTGACCCTCGCAACATGACAGCTGACATAGTCGTTCTGGAAGTAACAGGGACCCACCCCGTAAAACTGCCGCAACGTAGGAAGCACATTGTCAAACAAAATAGTGCAGTAGGCATCTACGTTGAGCTTACCATGAATAGGGACCAAGGGTGCAATCCATACCGTGAGAAGCGCCCCCAGACCATAATTCCACCTCCGCCGAACTTGACTGTTGGCGCAATGCATTCTG